ATCACCTCTCAGGACATTCTCCAAATCTAACTAAGTCTTTCCATTAATCTCCATGACTTTGAATTTGCCTCTTAGTGGTACCTTCTGCTTATGTGCACTTCCATTTTAAAATCAGTAGGATACTTCTGATACTTCTTAATCAGTCCTGCCCAAAGTCTTTTGGGAACTTTGTAGACTCACTATCTCTCCAGAATGCAAACCAAGGCTGCCTTTTAATATCAATGGAACAAAAGATTCATACAAAGCATAGGAAATACCAAATAGCTAAGATTCATAGTTATCCTTACAATACTGAACCCAGACAGAAGCAAACTGGAAAAAAATTAAAACAATATGTGAGATATAAATCTTTAATTAACCTTGTTATATCAACCTAGGCCTAGCATTCCACTCAGTTTTCTGAGGTTACTCAGCATCACTTCGAAAATGGATTACTTTCCATTAAAAACAATGCCAAAAACAGGTTTTTTTTCCAGATCTCCTGGGGGAAATTAGAGAAACCTGGATCATCAAATGGGAAAAATTTAGTATCATCAGGAATACTCACAGATGGGAAGAAAGTGAAGCTGTGCTACAGTTCTGGGAACTCTTAATACTGTCTTATAGACGAATTCTAAAGTCTGAGGTGAACAGAAACAAATTGTGGATTTACGCAGCAAAGACACCTTTGTAAAGTTTTCTTCAACAAGTGTTGCCATAGTGCTCTATATGCTTCTTTTATATGTCAATTTATGTAAGCATTGATTTCAGGATTAAAAAACTGCATTACAAGGACTGATGACTACTTTAGTATATGTAACTTTTAGCCAACTATGGAACACACCAAGCCTCCTGGCCTATACACATGCTTGGGGGCAGGGGAGGAACACTTTAATTAGAGCAACTCCAAGAGCAACTCTAATTAAAGTGCTCAGGGTGTCTCATGTATCAGCATCCCCACATTTCAAAATGGCTGCAGGGGCACTTTATCTAAAGCTTATTCGGTGAGCTTTAAAGTGCCCCCACCTCCATTCTGAACCATGGTACAGTCATGCTCTAGCAGACTCGGTTAATTGAGTCTGCTCTGATGTGCTATAATTACACCGTGTTGGAGCAGCCGCCACACTCATGTATAGGCATCACGTTTCCAATGTCATCTAATATCCAACTGAACTCTTCTCAGTGATAAACCCCACAGAGCTCTAAAAGGGATCCTACTCCATCTCTAACATGTTTTATGCCCCTTTACAACCAATTTACACTATGACACAAAACTTACAACAAAAACTGACAACATCATTCTGTCCGTGACAAGGTTATGTTGAAATTTCTTCAAAAAGACTAAATAAAATCAATGTTCCTATCAAAGCAACCTTTCCAATCCAGTCAAACCTAGAGTCTGTTTAAGGATTACAGCAATGTTCCTGTTGTCTTCAAAGCTGCTGGGTACATGTACAAGTCTTTAATTTCCGCACAGAGCATGAAATTATACTCAAATAAAGATGGAAGATACTGGGCTGCTGGCACAGAACTGAGAACATCCAGAACATTTAAACCAACAAGTAGGGGGACTTTCAAAAGATACAAAGGCCAGATAGGTTACTACATCCATTGAAAAACTGTAGGAATTTGTGTCTGATTGGCCATTTGGTTTGGACAGTTTCCTTCTTACTTACTTAAAATGGTTCTCAAGATTATTAGATTCCAAATCTATTATTTTATATGCTTGTGTAATGATGGGGAACAGACTGCAGGGAAGACATGAGAAAAATAAGATGGGGAAAAAGGTAAAATTGACAGGAAAAACAGAAAAAAGTAGTGTCAGCTTTAGCAATACCTTCTGTTATTCCCTTATACTTGTACAGGTTTCCTAACACTAACTTTTTCTACCTATTGTATTTCCTGTCACCAGTAGAGGTGCTAGTGCTTACAGGCTAGGGTAATTTTAACCTTTATGCCCTGTAACTCTGTTCAAAATTGGTCTAGACAATGGAGTGATAAAAGGCCAGCAGTGCAGGGACCCATCAACACATGCTCCAGTTTCCTTTGCTATGAGAGTTGGCACTGGAATACCACTAGCAATGACCGAAAATACCTAGTGTAAAAAACAAGCATAGAAAAGCCCCTGTATTACTCAAGGTGATGATAGTGTTAGAATGATAGTGTAGCCTTGATGGGCCAGGAAGTATGCAAGAGGCAAAGATTTTTTAGGGTGATGTATTTTATTGGACCAACTGTATTACTGAGATAGAGTTGGACAAGCTTTTGCATGTATGATGAGGGATGTCTTATATTTAAAAGTTTGTCCAACTCTATCTCAATGATGCAGTTGGTCCAATAAAAGATACCACCCTAAGAAATCTTTGTCTTACTCAAAGTGAGTAATGGAGGTAGATTAGGAGTACAAATGAATGCGACTGAACAATTAACCATAAATTTAAAACATGGAATTTGATAGAAAAGATTTCCAACGATAATACTTCACACATCTCCCCTGAAGGACTTATGCAGTATTTAAAAGCAAGAAACAGTATGCTCCAGTCACCAATTAATATGCTGTGCTAAATACACTGTATACCTTGTATTTCCTTGCTTTGTTTTGATACCTTTAGTGTCTCTTTAGTAATGCTACCAGTCTTACTGTTTGGTGGGATGTTTTTTATAATCCTTTGCTGCAGAAAAAGCAGAAGCTTATGGGATTCATTTTTCATGCAAAGTCAAATCCACATTCAAGTACATAAAGCAGCTGTCACATCACACATTCTGCTAGTGAACTTGTCATACCTTCTATTAACTTTTGGCACAGACACAGTGTCTTAGACTTCTTCCAAGGCAGTCAAATAATAATGAAAAAAAAAGGTATCTTTGATGCTACCTGAAACCAAGCTCTTCAATGCACATTGTCTGCATTTTTCTAGGAGCAGGCACTGAGCCAGGGTATGGAGATAATTATTTTGTCTGACTCCAGGGAGAGCAAGAGAATCTTAAAGGCAGGCTCATTATAGCAAAGAAAATCTAGACAGCTCATTTAATCCAGAAGGTAACAAGATTTCTCTTTTCCCATTGCAGTATCTTCTGTTTTTTTCCTGCCTGCGTTCCATGGGACACCAGGCCCTGAACCTTGCACATACTCTGGCATCATCTCTGTAGCTGTGACTAATATTAATACTTCAAGGAACTAAGAGGCTATGTAACATGTCCAGCAAATTGGGGAAAAATATACAGGAAACGAAGAGTTCCTTCCTGATCTTCCATCCAACCATGAGCTGTTGTTATACCTTAGCTTCATGAAGCCTTACATTTGACAGTCCTACCTAGTATCTTTTTTTCCATAAGTACAGATATTATTTGCCATCCCAAAGTGATTCAGTCCTCATAAAAACCCAGACACAGTTTTTCCCCTTGATAATTTTGCTAGTGCTTTACAGGCTCAAAAGGCCACTACGACTCAAGGTGTATGCATGTTCACATGCATGGGTGTTTGCATCTGTGTTACAGAGTTATTCCAAAGGAAAATTTTCCTGTAGGCTCACCATCCAAAGAAAATTTCTGGAAATTTCCCATCATTCCCAATCTGGTTCACAGCTCCACCAGCAATAGGAACTTCCAGATCCCCTATAAACATGTGCTGTTTTAAATACCGTATCCTTTACGCTTGCTTGACAGGGGCCTCTGAGGGCTCTTACACATTCCTGACTTCCTCAGGGGTTGAAAGGTGGGAGCAGTAATACATTTTATAGCCCGCCAGAGTGGTCTGGCTATGTTCCACTCATTACCTGGCCATTTGTATGAGAAGATCTTCCAACATAGGGCATTGTCCTATACACTTAAACCACTTCCTATTGAAGTAAATGACAGTCCTTCCATTGACTTGTATCTGGTCACATATAGGCAGGGAATATTCTCTCCCTTAGTTCCCGCCTCCTTAAGTCATAGAACTGTATTTCCTCTGGGTCAGGAGACCCTAGACAGAGAGTGTCAGGATTTGTCACACTGTGAAAAACAATTCTCTCCAAATACCGCCCTGGGAAATTTGAGGGCCTGAAAAAAAATGGCTGACTAAAGAAATGCAAACATCTGTTACCTTTCCTTTAAAAACATGGTAATTACCTGTGTTATGAAACACCAGGTCAAGCGATATCACACACTGGAATCCTGAATAGATATTTAACTGATTTTAGAAGCCTAGCCCAAAATTTGGTGAGGTCAATAGAGAGGGGTTCTAGTTGATTCCAGTAGGCTTTGCATCATCCTTACCTGAAACACTTTACATCACATCTACAGTCTTTCCTCCAGACATTGGGTCACTGCCTACAACCTGGGTCTGGTTCTACTTCTAGTTAGGACAGTGCCAAACCTTTTATGAATCTGACCATGATCAAAATTAGGGAGGCAGACATATAAGTGTCTGAGCATTTTTTTCAGTTATGCAGTTGCAGGAAAGACACCTGCATTTTCCGGTCTGCTTCAGCTTAGACTAGGGACACTTTCACTTGGAGTCCTTATGTTAGGATTGCATGTTTTTGTAAAAAATATGCTCTAGTTCAACTAGAAGTTTTTCAGCTAAACACAGCTGGCTGTACAAAGGAATTACTGGGTGAAATCTTTGGCTTGAATTATAAAGGAGATCATCTTAAATGACCAAAGAAGTTCCTTCTTGCATAAATATTTACAAATCTATTAAACCTGGATGCTGAGCAAGACCCATAAAAGATAAAATGAAAGTACCAAATATAGCAGAAAGGACTATATTTCAACTGCTGAAGTCTTCTGATTAATTACTTTGCTTCACAAACGTCAAGGTCTGAATTCTGGACACAGTTATTTTTCCTAAATTCCTTTTGTTCTTTAAAAAGAAACTGTATACATCTAGCCTAAGCAATCAATACTAAGGTGCAAATCACTTAACTAGAGAACCCATCCTACCACCAAATTTAACAGTTACTGCACAAGCACTGAAATACAATATGTTTATAAAATATTGAAAAATGTATAAACAAGATATCTTGAGAGCTTCTTACCTTTGAGCCAATGAGAGTGTAGAGCCATTGGATGGTTTCATTATGATTTATCACTCCATTCATCCCATCTACATACAGCATAATCTGACCCAAAGCTATAATAAAGAAGAGAGGCAAAAAATACAATAAGACCAAGTGAAGATTTATTAATATCCCAGTGCTCTGTTGCAATTCATTATACTGTTTCTATAGGTCACAAGTGTGCATGGAGCTTTATTAGCAAAAGACAGAGAACAACAGATAATGCTGAGGTTAAACTGAAGTAGCTCTACAAACTTTGTTTGGAGTCACTGCAGTTCTGCTTTGATACGATCAGTTCCATTACCTTAAGAGGGCAACTCCTTGCCAATATGAGCCAATGGGGCATTCATGTCTGCAACTGTTAAGAAATGTATTGGAAATTTTAGGTTTGGAATCCATGTAGGTGGATTAAGATATTTTGTGACTTAGGATAACCATTGTGTTTGCCAGAAGAATGTTACCATTTCACAGTGGCATTTTATGAATTATCAAATGTTGAGTTCTGGTGAAGAAACACAAGATAACAAGACAAATGATCATAAGGTATTTCTTGTTTATTTATCTTATCTGTTTATGATAATTTTCTATAATATTGTAGTAAAACACTGTACTACACTGTGCTATGCAAAATGAATAAAGTCCAGCTAATGAGATTTTGTTACAGTAAATAGCTGGTAAATATTTGTTGAGTAAAAAAGAAAGTTAGATATTTTTCATACAGACTATAAAGTGCTACGCTTAGTAAAAAGTGGATTAACAAAACTCGTCTCCAAAATGTTCCCTGCTCATTCTCTCACTATGGAACAGAAGAGTCATACAGGCTTGGTTGAAACAGAACAATTTAAAGCAGGGGTGTGCAACCTTTTTGCACGTGGGGTCAGATCATGAACTTTTTATCACCCAGTGGGCCAGCAGGAGTGGGTGTTTGCACAGCCTGTCCAGTCTGGCTGCAGCCTGGGGGCACAGGGGTCAAGGGGTGCCGCCTGACCCTGCCGTGTCCTCCCTGCCACCTGGGGGGCCTCAAGGATGCTCCCAAACCTGTGCACCTGGGCTCAGCAGCCAGGGGGACATGTGGGGACTCTACAAGGGGGTGCAGGATGTGCAGGGACACGCCCCTGCTCCCTCTCCCCCGGGGCAGCCTGAGCCCGAGCCCAAGCAGCATAGGTCCCTCCCTCCCCGAAGCCCGTAACTCACCAACCCCAGCATGAGATATGCAGGTGCAGGGGGATGCGGGGAGGCGGGAGCAGTGCCAGCTTTCCGTCCCAACAGACACAGCAGCGGTGGCAGCAGCATCACCCACAGGCCCAGCCGCAGCATCCCTCCAAGCTGGCATCCGCGCCCCCTGCGCCTGCTGCACTGCGACCTGCTCCAGCCCACGTGGCTGGCGGGGACCGGCACAGGGCGGGGCCAGAATACAAATGAGGGAGGGGCAGGGCTAGGAACAGAAACCCTGCAATGTGGGAGAGAGGAGGAGCTGCCAAACAAATGAGGAAGGGAGGGGTGGGGCGAGGAAGAGACACCGTGAAATGAGGGGGGAGGGGAGAAGCCTCACCGCATTGGAAATGTCAAGCTGACGCAGTGCATGTGGGAACCTTGTCTCTTCCTCAGCCCTTCAGGAGCCATTAGGAAGCTGCTGAGGGGCTGGGGGATGGCAAGGGGTGGGAATGAAAGTAAACAGTGTTTACTTTTGTTTCCCGTTGCAGCACCGCGGGCCACAGAAAATGTCTTGGCGGGTCACATGGATGGCCCCGTGCCATATGTTGGACAAGCCTGATTTAAAGCAACTGTAGCAGGGAGCCAGACAGCTCTTACTTGAAAGGAGAAGCATCAGGGAAGGGACAAGGCTTGAAAGGCATATAATCAGGGCCTAAGAAATAGTGGTCAGTCTGGCCTGGCAGGCAGCAGGGAGAGAAATTCCTGAGCAGAATGCCTACATGAAAAAGACTGCCTGGCACTTGAACTGCCCTCTGGACCACAAGAGGCTTTCAGCTCGCATGGAGTAAGACCCAGTGTTGGGGTATAGCCAGTGGGCTTATGTGTTTGTTTAAGCTTTACACCAGGGGACAGGATGTGGCTATAAAGGGTGATGAGAATCCATGGAGGGGCATCTGAGGGGTGCACTGTGGTTTATACCAGGTCACCTTGGTGCCAGAGGGACATGTGTGGTTTTAGAGCCATGCCAGGGGCTGGGGCTCAAGACCAGGCAGGCAGAAAGCAGAGAAAGGCAAAGCCTGCAGGCCCAGGGGCCCACAGCCCAAGAGGGGTGAGATCAGGGCCAGGGGCCACGGCTTGAGAGAGGTGAGACTGGGACCAGGGGCCCACAGTCCAAGAAGGAGCAAAAGTCTGGAAGTCAAGTATGGCACAGTGGACTTAGGCTGAGAGGGATCCAGCCAGATAAAAGGGGCTGAAGTCAGGAAGGCAGAAGACCCAACAAGGGTATGGAGGTATGGGGAGGCCTGAAGTCATAACTGGTATAACTGGTAACATCTGCAAGGCATGGGCATAAGTGTATGGGTGGAAAGAGACCACAAATAGCTCTTAAGGCAATACGTGCCTTGGGGTTGGGCCAGGAGGGCCAACCTAATGTTTGAGGGGCAGAACTGGGGCCAGCAGGGGCCAGGAGAGATGTTCTGGCCAATGGACAGATGAGGACTCCTTCTAGGACTGTAGGGCAGCCTTCCTTTTTCCAGATTAACTAATTAGATCAAGGCATGGCAGAAGAGAGAAATGGGAAGGTACCCATACCCACAGAGCCAGAGTTGGGCAGGAGCTATGTGTCCACCAGAGAACATCATGACTGCCCTGGGGCCCAAACCTGCTACTGTAATATATTCAGTGTAATCTATAGTTAACAAAATTCAAAAGCTATTAGAACACTTTTGCAAATGAGTGCATTATATTATGCATAGGATTGTAGAATCACAGGGAAGTAGAGATAGAAGGGACCTCACAAGGTCATATAGTCCAGCCCCCTGCTCAATACATGATCATCCCCAATTGAACCATTCCAGCCAAGTGTCTTTCTAACCAATTTTGAAAGTTTTCAAGCATGGAGATTCCACAGCTTTTCTAGGTAGCTTGTTCCAATGCCTGACCAGTCTCACAGTCAAACAGACCCTTTTAATCTCCAGCCTAAATTTCCCCTGCTACATCTTGAGGCTTTTGCTCCTAGTCCTGTCTTCTACAGCCTCAGAGAAAAGCTCATTTCTATCCTCTCTGTAATTACCTTTTAGGTATTTGAAGACTGTTATCAAATCCCCCCTCATTCTTCTTTCCTCCACACTAAACAATGCTATCTCTTTCAGCCTTTCCTCATAAGTCTTGCCTCCCAGGCCCCTAATAATTTGTGCTGCGCTACACTGGACTCTTTCCAAACTGTACACATCTTTATTGATGTGTGAGGCCTAAAACTGGACACAGTACTTCAGTTGAGGCCTCACCAGTGCTGAATAGAGAGGAAGAATTAATTCCCTTGATTTGCAAGAGACATTCCTGTTAATACAACTCAGGATGTTGCTGGCTTTTTTTGGGCAACAAGAGTACACTGTTGGTTTATATTTAGTTTGTAGTCTATTATAACCCTCTTTAACTTGCTAATGGGGATGTTGTGGGAGAATATCAAAAGCCTTGCTAAAGTCAATGCATTTCACATCCATTGCACTTCCCTCAACCTCAGAGCCTGTCATTTTATCACAGAAGGAAATTAGGTTGGTCAGGCAAGACTTGCTCTTGGTAAATCCATGTTGACTGTTTCTGATCACCTTATTCTCCCCTAGGTGCTTAATAATGGAGGTGCTTCATAATGGATTCCTTAAGGATCTGCTCCATGATCTTTCTTGGTAAGAAGTCAGGCTGAACGGACTATAGTTCCTTGGAAACTTCTTCTTCCCCTTCTGAAAGATAGGCACTAATATTTGCTTTTTCCAGTCATTTGGGACCTCACCCAAACTCCAGAAGTTCTCAAAAAGAATAGCCAATGGCTCCAAAAGTAACTCAGCCAATTCCTTCAGTACCCTTGAGTGCATCCCATCTGACCCAACTGACTTGAAAGCATCTAGCTTCACTAAATAATCCCTAACTTATTCTGCCATTACTCTAGCCTATTTGTCTCCTTCCCTATTGTTGCTGCCAACTGTACTTGACAGCTGGTAGCTCCCCCTATTTGTGAAAACTGAAGTAAAAGGACATTAAATCCTTTCAGCATTGTCTGCAACTAGATTGCCTTCTGCATTCCATAAGGAATCTATGGAATCCCAGGTTTTCCTCTTACTCTTGACATACTTGTAGAATCCCTTTTCTTGTATTTTTATGTCCCTTACCAGCTGCATCTCTGGCCTTAAATGATCCCGTAATTTAAAATACTGTTCTACTGACCATTCTATTTGAAGAGAGATGCCCATGTGGCAACAACAGGAGTCAGGCACTTAACTGCATTGGAACTGAGATTTAGGCTTCTAACTACCATTATCTGTAGTAAATCTCCTATTTGGTTTATTGCAAATGCTGTAACGGACCATAAAGCACCTATATATTAAAACTCAAATTCTCTCAGAAGGTGAGTGATAAATACGTCCAATAAATGAAAAGAGATTAAAATTACACAGAATGGATAACAGGCTCCTTTTCAACATTTTCTGATGGGTATTAGAGAGAGGGGGAACATGGTTATCCAGCAGTAATCAGAGAACGGTCTTAATTCTTGTTTTCACTTCTTTTTGGTATAAAAAGATTTTGCCTTTGATCAGCATGAGATCAAACCCATGATAAGGTCACCAGATCATTCCTTTCTAGTGAATTCCTTGGTTGGGGTGAAGGGATTTAATTTGAATCTGAAACAAATGCAAAACAAATTTGATTCTTGGCACATGCTTTCCCAATTAATAAGAAAAAAAAAATCAAAGACAGCAAAGAGTCTGATTTTAAAACAAAAGCACACACAAAAAACAAGACAACTTTTCTGCTTATGCTCAAAATTGATTGGGTGTCTAGGTGAAATCTGTGCTACAACACTTACCAGATTTTTAAATATGAGCGGACATAAAAACACTGGTTTAGGGCACATTAACAGCTCCCA